TTTTTTTTTTTTTATTTTTTTAAAGAAAAAAAGTACTTCCATAACCAAATGACCAGATTTCTAATCAGAACTTTCTCATAATCCTGTTCAGGTGGAAATTTTTCAGCTAGCTCAGCTAGCTCTCATCAAAAGCTAGGACAACCATAGGTCTGTTATGTTTAGAAAGTTCTCTCCATCATGTGGGAGTCTGTAATATTTATTGGGTTGGATCAGTGTAGCAGCACTATTCTCACAAAGATCTAAGAAAATAAGAGAGGAAAGTCCCCATTTTGTTGCTGCATTTTGATGTGATTTTTTTTTACCTTTGGGGCTTTCCTGACCTCAATTACAGACATCCTTTGATTGGCCCTTAGTCATGATGCACACAGCATCCTATTAGCAGCAGAAGCACCAAGCCTAAGGAATGGTTTGCAGACCCAGCTAGACAAGGCTTGCAAACCAGCATAATTTGCACAGTCAACTCTTTGCCGAGTGCATTCTACTTTTTCAGTGCTTACAGCTGCTTGCAGCTAATGTGCAACCATTCAGATAAATTGCATATACTGGAATATATACATGCCTGTAAGGAAATTGGGATTGCCAATTTCTAACCCGCACTGGAGTAGCAGAATGATTATTTATTTTTCACTTTTACTTTCGCACCTGCAGTCAGTGTTGCAGAAATGCCTCAGCTTCTGCTTTGAGAGCTTCTGCTTTGGTGACTGTAGTGGACATGACTTTAAATCCCGGAGAAGGGCAAAAATAGTTAGCAACATGGACATCTGCCAGGCTTTTTTCACAACAGAAATACTCAAGTGGTGTAGCATTAAGTGATTTAACATTCAAATGACTGACATTGGGAGGTAACTTCCATGACATTTGAAAATCCATTCCGAGAGCACAATCACGCCTGTGGAAGGGGGAAACCTTCTTTTTAAAAACTGTTTCACCAATATTGATATTTGCAGCCCCTATTGTCCTATAAAAAGTTATTCCCAGCGCCAGTAGATCCTTCCTTTTTTTTTCCTTGCACTCTTATCCTCCAAATCAATGGCTGGAACTTTAAAACCACTTTTGTCACGAGTACAGGGAAGCTTTGCAGAAAACTGACAAATACCTCTACAGGTCCCAGTGCAGCCACATTAAAAATGAGATTAGCATTAGCCCATCAGAAGGAGCCTAACTTCAAAAATCTGACATTTCCTCCATTAATAAGAAAATAACCTCACTGTCCAGCCTCTAAGCTTCACAGTTTTACCCAAATTGAGATGTTTGTCACCTTCCTGGGGCTTTGATTCCAGGAGTGCTGATGGGGTTGCTGGAGCAGCCTCTGCACTGTCCTGCACTGGAAAATAAAAATATATTTCATTGAGCTCTGAATTCAGAATAAGCATCCTGCAAACAGAATGAACAACTTACATATTTAAACAGATAATTATTTTAAGAGTAGTTCTCTAATTCTGCAGAGTTTGGATGACTCTGCCATTCACACAAGATTTGAATTTCCTGGTACATTTAGAAAAGAAAAGTGACTTCCCGCTGATCCTTCTGCCTCACCCCAGGTACCCTAGAGAAATGTCAGCTCTACTTTAGATCAAAACTGTGCTGCAGCAGGTTTAGATTCCTGACCTAGATAAGTCTTTATGTATTATAGTAATGTGTGAGGTGGTCAAAGTCACGGTGAAGTCTTGACTTAGGAGATAAATAACTCCCAAAGTGTACTACTGCCAAATGCTGCAAACAAAAATGTTAACTGAAGATGTGCTGTGGAGATGGGGCTGCTGTCCATGACTGTAATGGCAAATGGCATTGAAATTTGCTGGAAGGTGAATGGTATGTAACAAGACACCTGGAGAAACACAGATAATGTGCCTAAATAATTCCTGCAAGTAACAGAGTTCAAACTAAATGTTATCCTTTGCAATGCACAGGCAGATTGGTAGGTTTCAAATCAGTGGTTTATGCTAATCAAATAAGCACTTTTAGGAATAGAGAATACGGCTGCCAGCATCCTACTTACCAAAAATTCTCTTTCCATGCAAGCAAAAGCTTGCGTTTTGGTAGGAGAAGGCTGCAGACTTTTCCACCATGCACCAAAGGAAATTGAGTGTGAGCAAAAGTACTGCATGTGTTTCCAGAGTTGGTGGGAAAGCTGAGCTTTGCAGCATTCCTTGAAAGCCAGAAGAGCTTGGTTCCACAGGCAGCCTCTCTGGCAGTGGGGCTGTCATGAAAAACGCCCCTCTGGTCATGGCCACACCATACCTGTAATGAGGACAGGTGACTCCACTGCTGACACTGTGCTGTCAGAGAGATGTCCCTGCTAAGCAGCTCACAAGGTTTGGCAATGCAGAGGGCTGCTGACCAGACCCCAGCACAGGAGCTGTATGGGGAGCTCGTGCCACCTCCCTGGCCTCCTGCAGGCCTCCCACCACCAGCATCCCCTCCTTCCTGAAAGACCAGTGAAGGGCTGAAGCCTGGCCCTATCTAGCATCGCCAGATTCACAGTCAGTAGAGCTGGGCCCACCTCTCGCGCATGTTTATCTTCAAGGACATCAGCGGTGCCTTTGGCTTTAACTTAACATTGGGCACATCCTTAAGTAGCTTACAGAGAAAGCACTGCGTTAGGCTGTGTGCCAAGATTCGCCGAACTGGAAGAAAACCCCTCTTAGGGCTCAGATTAGGCTTTGGTTACCTCACCACACCTTTCCAGCAGCATTTTTGCCTTCTGTTGAGCCCTTCCTGCTCCTTGTCCTGACAGTTGGTGGGATCTAGATAGGTGGTTTCCAGGCTCCTAAGCACACGTGGAATCAAAAAAGTAAAATATCATTGGATTTGGGCTTTTTTTCCTACTTTGGGAAACATCTGTTTGCATGAGTTTTTAAATCTGCCTGGAAAATCATGCACAGAATATGGCACATTGACAGTAAACTGAATTCAAACTTATTTGAAGAAAATGAACAATTTTATGAACGCAAGGGTGACATAGCGGAATGCAGTTTTGTTTTTATCTCAAGTGAATATTAGAAGGCAGACCGGTAGATGGAATAAGGCCTTCTGCTCCTTGTCAGTAGCAAGCTGGTAAATTTGCTGGTCTAAGTCGTCATAAAAACAAAATAACTGTATTTATACATAAAGCAGGTATAGGGCAACTATCAGTCAGCAGGTGCACATCTGATACCAGTCTGAAGGTTTGTCATGCATCTTGTTTCCTCACTGCTTTGGATCTTTGCTTCCTTTAACTTCTCTGAGTGACAGCAGCAGGTCTTCAGGGAAGAATGTAAGAAACAAAGTTTAAACCTCTCTTTCACTGATTTAAGGACTTTAATCTTCTCGAGACAGTTGTTTGTGGACCATCTTGGATAACAGTCACCAGTGGGTCCATCTGCTTGGTGACTACCCTGTTTTCCTTAAGATCACGTTAGCTCCAGCCTCCCCCATTCATTACCTGGGGCACTGCACTCAACAACATAGAAAAGTATCTGATTTTGTTCGGACTCATTTTCAGGAATGCTGTTCAAGTTACACAGAGCCTAATGTTGACATACGTGCACCCAATGAATCCCAAGCAACAAACTCCCCTCAAGTGACTGGAAAGCAATCAGAAGAACAAGTGTTGCACTGCTCTCACCCGGGTTGACTCCAGGTGACTTTAACAATGACAGCTTGCGGCCCGCTCCCTGGCCAGCTGTAACAAGATGGTTTTGCATCTTCACCACAGGTGGTAGCAGTGTCTGACTGTCGCCCCCACCGGCCAGACAAGCTGCAGCCCCACCACGGCGACCTCTTCCAGGTGCTCTACAGAGAAGAAGAGGTGCACAGCTTGGGCCAGGGTGGGCAGCAGGGACCCTGCAGCCCCAAGCACGGTAAGTCCTCAGTGATGGCTTTGCGGTCTGCACAGCTTCAGAACAATTTTAGATATTGCAGTCTTCTGGTCTGCATCAAAGCAGACTTGTTACGTATAGAAAAATATTTCCATGCTTAAAACGCTCAGTGGAATTTAAGACCATGGCATTGCAGAGCCCTGCTGCCTGCAAAAGCAAGCTAATAAAGCAGTGCTTGCTTTATTCAAATGCATAAACTCTCCCTTTCTAAGAGCTGACAGTATTGTAGGGATGATAGACTGCTTATAACTGGGCTTGCCTGACTCATCTTTTTATTTAAGATTCCTGTTCAGATACTTAAAATTTGCCAGAACATAATTATTTGAGATGAATTTTTAGATTCTGGATGTCAGCCACAGACATGATTTTGTTTTTTCAACCAAAACTTGTTCATCATATTTGTGAGAACCTGTGAAAGAAAAAATAGGATTTGCCAATGCAAAAACAAGGAAATGAACAAACAGGCTGCTTGTTCAGTATGCTCAAAGCTGATGTGTTATGCTTGGAAGGAGAAACTCAAGCAAGGACATGGAGTTTGGCATGGGATGGCCTTTTAATCAAAACCACACCTATTTTTCTCCCATGAAAAACCACCCAGCTGCAATTAAACCATAAATCTTTGAAAAATCCCATATAGCACGTGTTCGGTAGAGATATAGGAAGTTTGGTTTGTCTGTTAAAAGTTGCTAAATGTGTAGAACAGATTCTACCATGAATGAGCACAGTCTTCACACCACAAATAAGCATCCACCATGCTTGTAAGGCACTTGTTCTGAACAGAGTAGACAAGAGCAGGGCCTGCATGACTGCGAAGGAACAGAGTTTGGAACTATGGAGAAAGATTTGAAACCAGGAACAGAGCCTAAATGTGACCAAACAACAACCTGGGGTGAGGGGAGAGGGGGTGGGGGTGGAGAAGGAGTGCCTGAGGAGCAGCAGGTGGCAGAGAGGTACTGAGGGGGGAAGAAGTTGTCTGTGGTGAGGGGAAGCAATGGGGAATAGGTGACAGATAGGCACCAATGGGAGAAAGGATGGAGGGATCAAAAAATAAAAGTGAAAAATTAAGGAAACAGTTCTCATAACAGGAGAAAGTTGTGACCGGGCAAAGAAACTGGGATACCAAACGTGAAATGGGAAGAATCTGAAAATAAGTTAGACTGTGTTCAGCAAAAGAGATCTGAGAACAAAAGGGAGGCAAAGAGGTTTGTTGGAGGAGTGGAAGAAGGAAGCAAGGAGCGTAGGATAAGACAATTTCATCAGGAGCTCAAGGCAGGAGAGCTCCTCCAGGTCTCCCTAAGTGTGTGTAGCATAACGTAGTTGTTTGTAGAATCCTGGCCCAGAAGGTACTCAGGGAACTCAGCAGTGAATCTCCAGGTTCCTGTACTAGCTCCTTAAGCTCTGTGTGTCACCATCCTCGGTGATGTGCACACAGCTGGTACAGCTGACATATCCTTTTTTCTGGGTGCCCATTTCACAATTCAGATTGTGACACCCAGAAGCACTCATTTCTAGCTGCCACAAAAACTGTATGGAAGAAGGGCTGCATCCCACAGCAGTCTTCTGAAAGATTCATCCTGGGAATTTCTAACCTTAAACTCAGTACTCTGTTTCCCCACTACAACCTGTTATCCTCCAGGAGGCTACAAAACAGTTCTCTGTGGTTGTTTGTTTGTTTGTTTTAATACTGGTGAAGATGATGGCCACAACGGCCTGCAATACAGAAAAGCCCATGAAAATATTACTTGTCCTGCCCTTGGAGATTCACTAGTGGAGAAACAAGGTATAGGACTGTGTACTGAACAATGAAAAAGGCCAAGGATAAATAGCTACTTTCTGAGTGAACACTGTATGGTGCACTGGATGAGGCAGAATGTCTGTGGAAAGATGGCTCCTGGTCCCAAAATAGAGAGTGTTGAATATAAGGAGACTTCAGGCTTAGTAAAGTACTAATTGAAATCTGGGTAATAGAGTGAACAGTTTTTCACGGTAAGTGAGAAATGTGCAAATAGTACAGATGAGAACACCAGCATGCTTGTTGCTAGCATTAGTAACAACATACAAAAATAAAAGCAGAAGGACACTCCATTCTAGCATGCAGGAAGCCAAGAGTAGAAGGCCAGAACAATAAACTCCTTACAGGACCCAAAGCTGTGCTTTGCTTCACATGGTTATTGATTAAATAATTACATATGTGTTTATATGCATCTGTTTTACAGGGAAAAAACACTCCGTTTTGTACAGGGGCTCATCTTGGAAATACAGAGCAAAGTCAGAGTAGAAGTGGTGGAAATCCCTCGTCCCGTGCTTTGGCTTTCCATAGCACCTTCTGGAAGTGGCATTCACAATGCACCCCACCACCACTGTCCTGATGAGCACTTACCAAACAGAAGCCACAAGGCTTTACTTTTGCTTAAATATTTTGCAAAACTTGGCCAGGACATTTTTCTGGGTCTAATAAAAATGAAATGCTGAGGGGAAGAATCAGATAATATAAAACAAATAAACAAAAAGCTGGAGCACTGATGCCTGGAGCCACTTTCTGAATACTGTTAGTACCCAATACACAAGATGAGAGGAAGCTATTGAATTAAAATTTGATGTGAGGGATACGGTACCTAATGGAATTAGGTACCTAATGGAATTACTGGTGGGGGAAAGTGGGAGGAGAAAGGTTAGCTAAGATGTTTATCACAGTCAACTATTGCCCCCGGAAGGACAAGACAATTCTGACTGTTAAGTCATGCTGGGGACAGTGCTATAAGCATCATCTTTATTATTTCTCATGCTTCCAGTCATTGTTTATACTCCATTGGTAGCAGCAAACGTGAGTCTCATTGTATTGTCTGTGTTGGTGAATCCTGGTGTTTCTGTAAATCCCCACTCTTTTCTTACTTGAATACTATTTTTAAAAAAGAGCAGACAACTCAAAATGGCCAGGAACAGAAAAAAAGAGGAGAAAAAAAACCAATCCACAGTCCCACAGCCACGTGGGAGAATTTGGCTCCACGGGAATAAGTCTGGAATCCCTCCTTGATTTATTTCCTTGGCACAACTAGCAGGAATAGCAGTGAACATTTCCACGTGGATAAGTTCTTGGCTGGGTGCTCGCTCTGACAGCAAGCTAACCTCCAGGCTTGAGGACAGCAGAGATTTCCCGCTCAGCAACAGGCAGACAGAGAGGTTAAAATCCCTCCCCGTGATGTGCTGGATGTAACACAGCCTGCTGTCTGTGACTGCTTGGATCAATTCAGAAAGGAGAATGACCCCTTGCTCCTACACAGGACAACCTGGTGAGGAGCTTCACAGTGCACACTTTATATATACATACGTAAAAAAGTGCATACATAGAATCATAGAATCACTCGGGTTGGAAAAGACCTTAAAGAACATTGAGTCCAATACATACATATGTGTACACATACACATGCAACATACATTAAGTGTTAGCAGCAGGGGAGAGCTTCCAATTGGTCTAAGCACAGTTCCTTGTCTCATGTGAAAAGTCTAGGGGCAGCTAAATGATTTTCTGTAATTACTAAGCAGTTTCAATATCACTCATTTTGACATCACAGTACGTGATCAGAAAAAAAGAAAATTTTTGCACCTTTGGCTATAATCAAATCTGGTTGGATTATAATCTGAATCTTGGCTGTTTTCATGCTTGACCTAAGCACGTGGAAGGATGCTTTTAATACCAGCTGTGCCAATGGGATACTTACACTGATAATACCCTGCTTCTTATGTTTGACAGTGGGAATAACTGAACGAGAAACATCCAAACCTTGTAATCACCAGTCAAATGGGAAACCTTTGGTAAGTAAATGTAGCAATATGAAATACCACTGTCTGATGGATCTTAAAGCCTAACACCTGTTAACACGTCTGACAGTAACAGTGTGTTGGTTTACATCAGCACTTGCAGGTTTCCCAGTCTTCTTTACAGCCTTGAAAGGTGACTGATGCCAGGGGCTGCACAGCTGGGAGCAGGACAGCTGCCCTGTGGGGGGGGAGCAGGCAGGCTGCCTTGCTGCATGCCTAGCCACCTGCAAGACCTGTGAGGAATCAGCTTCTTGCTTCTCAGGGAATCACATGAATTGGGACAACATGGATTTCTAGGATGGAGAAGTATCAAACAATTCATACTCTGCAGAATGTAATGCTGAAAAGATGAACAGACCAATTGAAAACATCAATGGGAAAATCATTGTACAAAATCTGAAAATTTGTTTTTTAGTAATGAGAAAATGCTTTGGCTCAGAATGACTCAGCTTCAGTAAAATATTTTCCTCCCCTCCTCTTTTCCTTACAGAAACAATTTTCAAAAGCCCTCATTTAAAAACAAAACAAAACACAGATTTTCAAGCAGAAAATAGTCTTCTGAGAAGTTTCTGACCAACTACAGAAAGTTTATGCCTTAAAATGCCCTTTCAGATGGTTACAATGTATGAGCTAGCCTGTAGCTGGGCTATGCACAAGGAAAATGGCCGTTCAATATTGTAGGATGGTCAAAATTAACAGCATTCTGTGCAATTAAACTAATTGCACCTCACAACAATCATCCTGGTCAAATTTCCAAGGATGTTTGCAATAGTAATTTCAAATATCTTGAAGTCCTGAAATACTTACAGAGCACACCGAAAAGTATCCAGTTTAGGGGAAATGTCCATTAAGGCTCAAGAAATGGTGATGGCTGGGAAAGCTGCTTCCTGCCCAGCCCTAGAGAACCGTATGAAAGCCTCAGTTCCTCAGGAACCCGGGCATAAAAAATAAGGAATATAAATCTCTGCAAGGCTCCCACTTTATTCTGGTAGGAGAAATTCATGCTCATACAAGCACTGTGTCGAAGCTGCGGTGACCATTCACATGAGCAAACGGTGTTTGTGCGGACAAGGGTACAGCAGTCAGGATCTAATCTTTGTTCTCCTGCTAAGAGATGTACAGTATTTGTTCACTGTTGTAAAAAACAGCCTCTTTCCTCAGACTAATGCTGGGTTTCCACTCATCCGTGCTGTTGCTTTTCCCTCCAGCAGCCTCCGACATCGCTAGCCCTCCCCATCACAGCGAAGCCGGCTCTCATAGGATCAAGCATGGATGACCACCCACTTGCAGAAGAGTGAGTCCATGCCATTTTCTCTCTAAAACGTAATTAAGGAACAGTTTGACCATAGTGTAAATGCATCTCATCAGTAGACGGTTAACTCAGGAGTGGATCTGGGTGACATTTGAACTCACTGCGACAGTGTCACAGGGACAGTGATAACCATAGTTTTCAGTGGTTGATCATTGTAAAGATGGGCACAAACCACAGAGATAAATGCTTTATGCCAGCCTCCTGTGCTTTATTTGCCAGCCGTAGGCAGCGCTTGAGGAAGATGGCAGAGTATGACTTGAACATGACACCAGGAGCAGAAGCTTCTCTGCCACTGACGGGAGGCAGCCTGTACGGGACACCCAGCTTGCTGAGGAAGATGTGGATGAAGCACAAGAAGAAGTCAGAGTACCTGGGGGCAACAAACAGTGCCTTTGAGGCAGACTGATAAGTCTCAACATCACTCAAAAAGACAAAAGTTCCTTTAGCTAGGACAAGGTGCTCTAGGATTGATGAAGGAACAGACTCAGCACAGCTCCCCATCCTTTTCATTACTTGATGCCATTGCCTCAGAATGGTAGGAGAAAGGCTAATTAAGTCAAAACGGTGAGTATGATGCAACGTGTCAGCCTTTCTTTGTTACAATACACTAGAATCCCAAATATCTCACCACATTCACATCTCGACTCAGCGATGCTGAAACTATTGCTGACCTATTGTGTGCATCCTGTCTGAATCGTCTCAGACACACAAGAGAAGCCAACCAAGATGTTTGTGTTCTTCTGTAAGGTTGCAGTTCTCTTTTTGTTATTGAGTGCCACTAAGTGCCAGGGCTTTGCTCACTGTGTACCACTTTAGTCCTCCTTCCCCCTCACATATCCACTCTTTAGAGATATGAGATAAAAAACACATGATATGCTTGGATCAATGACATATGCTAAACATATTTTTCCTTCAGTTTCGATGTTTCAAGGAGTAAAAGATGGAAAAATTTTAAAAGAATGGGTGAGTCAGAACTGAGTAAATTTGTACTTACCAAACTTATCTACATGGCCAGAGAATGGTGTTTTAGTGCCCTACCTGATCAAACTATGAGAACTGAATAACCTCAACAAATACACTCTTCCATAGAACACATATACTAAATCAGCAACTTACTGTCTGTGTGGTACAGAGTATTTCTAAAAGTGCACAAATGATAGTAGAAAATACATAAGTGATGCAACTAAACAACTACATATGAAATATGAAATATTTGCTCATAGGAGATCTTTGTTTATGAACTGGTGGATTTAATAGAATTTCAATCTCATCCTTTTTTTTTCTTTTTTTTTTTTAATTTAGAAATTGCTGATCACAGTTCCGTGGTTTTTTTTTTCTTTCAAAAGAAGATCATATAAAAAGATTTTACCAGTACTACAGACAATATTATATTAGTCAGGAACAATACTTGTCCCACGAGTGCTCCCCTGCACTTACTGCACAGGATTTTGGTTTGCCTAAGCCTACAGACTTTAGCAGGGATCCACAGCCAGGGGCCACCAAACCAGAGGTTGCAGCCTGGGCAGGAGGAAAAGGCTGCAAAAGCAACCAGGTCCATTGGCTTTATTCTGTGTGGTGGGGAGAGGTGCACAGGAAAGGTTCACAGCTTGATAACCTAAGAAAGCAAAGTCTGTGTGATGTGAAAGCAACTGCAGCAGTCTGGTACCCAGGTTGCCTTAGAGAGCACACATACCCAGCAGGCATATGCTGGAAAAGGTATTGGGACAGGCAAGAAGGCCTTGTTTAACAACATACCGTGCCAGCTCCAGTCTCTCAGTCTAGAGGTTGCCAAGAGGAGTGAGGAATTAGGCTTTCATAAACTACATCAGCTGCCCATCAGACAGCACCATGGCTAGAAGGCACACCACCTCTCCCCTTCTTCTTACCAAAAGCAGAAGTCCTGCTCTGGCCCAGAAGCCTGACAGAGACAGCCCAGAGGGATGAGCTCCTCTCCTGCTTCCTTGCATTCTCCTGGGAGCAGAGCAGCACGCAGCTCCTCTTTAACTACAATTATCCCATCACAGGGGTTCCCCACACCTTTACCTTGGAGCCTGACCCACTGCCCCTGTGCAATAGTCTGGAATGTGTAACCCTGCCAACATCAAGCCCTCCACAGCTGAACAGTGCTGCAGCCACCCCAAGATCTTCCTGAAATGTCTTTTACAAATATCACCAACCATGCTGCCCCCTCCCCTACTCCCTGAAATCCTGTCAGCAGCCTGTAGGCACCTACTATTTTTAATGTGAACAGGTAAACTGAGTAAATTCAGTGGGACTATTCACTTGCACAGCACTATAGACACTATAGACAAGGAGTAAGGAAGATGGTAATAACTGGTCTCATTCCCCAAGCAAAGCAAAACTAAAAAGCAGACAGAGGGAAGTGCCCATTCGCTGTATTTGGGATAGTTAAGATTGAGCATTCGTGATACCTGCCCATGCAGCTAACGTGACCTGAAGAGCACAGTCCAGGGCAGCAAGAGTTTTGTCTGCTGAGAATTGTATCTTAGTAGTTCATTCTGTTAATTAATAGCGTTAAGTAGTACAATGATGGAGAAGAAATAATTGATATTTCTACGTCACAGTTGCTGTATCTTGACATGTGTATTTATGGCTTCCTTATTTATTTAATTTATAACTTGGGTCTGCAAGTGGAAGAAAGATTTTACAGGACAAAATTTCTCTGTATTGCAGGAACTGCTGTGAAGATTTCTTGCATTGTAGTAGCTACTATTTTATTGATTTAAATAAAATATGTCCTGTTCATACAAAACAAACAATCAATAAAACCAAAAAGCTAACATATGTTTCTCAATGATTTTTGGGAAGGGTTTAGTTGGAAATAAAGGCAGGTTTTGTGATACTGAGGAAAACACACAGCTCATGGCAAAGAATGCAAAATTCATTCCTCCCAAGGAAGAGCCCAGAAGTGTGCATTTGTGAACAGATCCAGTATTGTACTAGTGGAGAAGTCATCACTCTTTATTAGATACTCAGAGAACAGCCCTGGCGCTGCCAAGAGTTAGATGTTACATGCAGAATTTCTTTATGGTAACGGTGATGGAGCATTGGAACAGATTGCCCAAGGAGGTTGTGGAGTCTTCTATTATGGAGATATTCAAGACCTGGCTGGATGCCTACATGTGCAACCTATTGTAGGTTAACCTATGTTAGCAGGGGGGTTGGACTCAATGGTCTCTTGAGGTCCCTTCCAACTCCTGTAACTCTGTGATTACACAGACATTTGCTCATATGATCCAAGTGTACCATGGACATGGTATCTAGTTTCCTCTAGTTTCCTAGTTTCCATGGCTATGGGAGGTGAGCAGCATCACCTGCCTCCCATTAGATGAGAGCATCAGAAGAGACTCTCTTCAAGGGTATTTAAGGCTCTAGTAGAAACTAAAACCAAGTGCTCTCTATTTTCAGCAAATTCACTCAGCTTACCTCAGAGCACAGCATTTGGAAATCATACACCGCACCTCGGAAAGCACAAGGCCCAAGACGAGGTGGGTGACACAGGGGCACCAGAGCTCAGGCTGGAGGAGCTGACTCAAGCCTGTGAAGGGAAAAACTTCACGAAACAGTAGGAAAAGAAAATGTATGGGATTGGCATCGTTCACCAACCTGGACTTTGGACACTCTGTCAGCCTATAAAACCAGTAGCATGAGCAGGGCACAGGATATGCAATGGGTACAGGATGTGGGCAGGGCAGTGTCATTTCCAGGTGAACCCATACAGAAAAGAATGTTGGATGAGCTCCAGCACATCATAAGAAAAATGTGAAATAGTGGTCATGAAGTAAGCAAACCATGCCATTTTGCCCAAAGACAGAAAAGCAGCTCAGGGCATGGCTGCTGGCACTGCCTGGCATATGCATGTTGTCACACTTCACAACATCTATGGGAGGATGCATTTTTCAGACACGTTTCTTGTCATTTCACAATTTTTTTGGTTCCCCAGCACTGCAGAGATTCAAACTGGGGCATGCATATGACTAAAATAGCATGAGGATAGCCCACTACATTTAGCATCATGCTTGCAGTAATTTGTATTTCATTTCCAAAAATAGCTTCTAATTTCTGCTCAGCGCTTCAAAAACATCTTTGCGACAGAGCTACTCCTTAAAATATCCATCAATTATTTGCATACCACTTTATTTAAATAAACTGTAGTGAATTTAAAGCGAGGCTACTATATACAATAATTCTTACTGATGCATAAAAAAATCTCAGATATACTTTGCCTGCCTTCCTTCCCCTTTTGCATTCACTCTTCAGACTGTGTAGCAAAGGGATTTACCAGAAGTGCCACTCACAGACGTCTTTGATTTAGGGGATACACTTTTTACAGAAAACATTTTTAAATGGAACACTGGTATTTGCATGACAAACTTCACATCTCTAAGTTAGCCAGCCAAAAGAGTTACGACATCTCGACTCTCACACACAAACAAAAATGGAACAAGTCAGATTTCTCAGAAGAAATCCCAGCTCACAAAGCTCTATGCAAACTCTATAAATGATACAGATGCCAAATAACCATACATATTTTATGAGAGATTTTTAAAAACTCAACATGAACTCTGTAGATATTCGCAAGTGAGCAGCACAACTCTATAATTCATTTTTCTTTTTTTTTCTTTTTAAGTGGCAGAACTATCATTTAAATGAATGGGTACATAGATTGCTAAAATTAAAAACAGAGCTTAGAGTTTAGAAGGAAAAGAGAGCTGAATGTTTAATAAAGTTAGTTAAAGGCCCAGAAGAATAAAGCTAGCAGCTGAGCTCAAACAAGAACAAATCAGCATGAACTGGATGTCCCTCCTTTCAGAGGTCAGGCTGGCTCCCCCTCCAGCAACATTTTTAGCAGCCTTACAAATAAGACAGATGCAAAGGCAGAGAAGAGGCCCTGACACCCCACTGACGCCAACCTAGGCCAGGCACTCTGCACATGGGGCCCAGCCCCACACCCAAAGACCCACCTGCCTCACAGCTTACTCTGTTTTATTTTAGACCAACGTTTTCCTACTTGCACAGTCACGTTTTGCATAGCGGTGAAATAGCAAAAGACACCACGTAGTCAGTTTGCTTGATGCTCCCCTTTTTGTGAGGGGCATGCACTGGACCATAAAGCAGAAAAGACATGCAAAAGGCCCTGCAACGTGCCCAGTGCCTCCCTGTGCAACTGAGCGGGCACTTGTGGGTAAAGCCAGCCCTCAGCACAGTCATACCCGCTCAGGCGCAGTCGTGCTGAGAGCTGACGCTGCAAAACCCTGAGCTGCAGAGCCTGCTGCTGCTGCTGCTCTGTGCCACGGAGGGCGAGGCAGAGGTCAGGAAGCAACGATGCCGTCATCAAAGCAGTCGTCCCAGCAACAAAGGCTGTCAAACAAAACAAAATTACAAAGCAAAAACTGCCTCAATCTCAAGGTACTTCAGCCTGAAGTTCAGCACTAATCATAGCAAGGCTATCCACAACTGTCAGACGGCACAAAGCCCTGCAAGGGACTTTTTGGAGTA